ATAAATATATATAAATTAGTCAACTAGTCTAAAATTCCATTTCCAGTCAAAATGATTTGATTCCTACATAAGACTTCGAAATTTGAATGACGGCAAAAGTCCGTACATATGTCTGTCTATATTGATTATCCTTTGCCCTGACCTTTGGTTCAAGGTTGATCGGTGGGAGGCAAGTGCATAAATTAACAAGCAATTGGCAATCACGATAATCGCCCGTTTGCATTGTGCCTAGCCCGGCCTAGCCCGGCTAATTACAAACAAACATGCGAAATTATCAACAAGAAACGAACCCCAACTGTTTATATACACCAGGTACATACATATATGTAGAGAGCTCCATTAATGGAGGTCATGGGGACAGTCATGTGCCTGCATATAAGTATGTATGTGTGAGTGTCTGCGTGTGCATTTACTTACCCCTAATTTAATAACACTGGTCACTATGGCCGCATTCCAGCTGTTCTCGATGCGCAGCAGCTCCTGGCGCGTCTCGACGCTCAGATAGCGCGGCTCGTGTCCGGAGCTCTGCAGGAGGAAGCAATGCTGTCGACTGTCCACAGTCTCCGACTCCTTGACGATGCGAAACATGGTCTGATAGACCTTGTAGACCACCAGAGCCTTGCTAATGCCGGCCACATTCAACTGCAAATGAGGCGAACACAAACGAAATCAGTTATAGCAAATTGTTCATACCAATTCGCCAGCTTTGAGCCAAGTAATATAATTTTAAAGCGCATTAAGTGCTCATATCTCTGCTGGCAATCAGGGTGAGCCAAAATGCCGCCACCAAGAGCAGAGGGCGCCAGCACGAGCATCGCGTATGCCGTGGGCCAACATTTTTCTGAAACTTGCAACTGCAGTGAGTGCAAAGGCTGCTCATTAGAGCAAGCGTACAATTTGTATGCATGTGCTTTGTGTGAGTGACTGTGAATGTCAGTGTGTGTGTGTGTGTGTATGGGCGTGTGTTGGTATGCTATGTGGGGGACTTCCAACTTGACACATAAAATTAGCGCAGCATAGCGGAGCGCACAGTTGCTTTGAAGAACTTTGGGCAAACGAACACGGAACAAAGCTGACTGCAAATGCTTCCATATCCAATTACATATTCATAAAAGAGATGACAATTTCCACTAAACAAGTGAATAAATCTCATATCAGTTAATCAAAAGGGATGCGAGTACTAAATTAATTTTAATTAGATTTAAAATTAAATTAAATTTTAAATATCGTAATATTTGTTGGACGAATTTGTTACAAATTGTTTAAAAATTTAATGTA